AAAAAAAAAAAAGAAAGAAACATATTAAGTAGATAATTGGACAGGCGGACACAGATGTGGCAAACATTGTGACTTGAGGCTTAGGAATGGAGGGAGTTTGGGAACCACTAACTTGCAGGTGTTGTTTTGCAGACGAGTCTCAGGGGAGTCAAATCACCTGTCACGGTCATCCTTGATGACCTAAATCCAGCAGGTGTGGAGCTGGATTTAAACCCAGACTGACCAATACACCCCTTCACTTCTCAGCCTCCTCATAGATCATAGTTCCTAAATCTGTTAAAAACCATGAGATCGGGGTGCCTGTGTGGCTCAGTTAGTTAAGTGTCTGTCTTTGGCTCTGGTCATGATCCCAGGATCCTGAGATAGAGCCCCACATCAGGCTCCCTGCTCAGTGGGGAATCTGCTTCTCCCTCTCCCTCTACCCCTCCCCCCAACTCCTGCGCTCTCACTCTCACTCAAATAAATAAATAAAATCTTAAAAACAAAAACAAAAACAAAAAACATGATATCAAGGGCTCCTGGGTGGCTCAGTCGGTTAAGAGGCCAACTCTTGATTTCGGCTCAGGGTGGTGGGATCGAGCCCCGCATGGGGCTCTGTGCTCAGCGGGGAGTCTGCTTGGGATTCTCTCCCTTCCCCTCTCCCTCTGTCCCTCTCTTCTCCTCTGTCTCTCTCAAAAATAAATAAATAAATCTAAAAAAAAGCCCCATGAGATGAGCAAAATCAGAAATGGTCCTGTTAGAGCAGTGGTTCTCCCCTGGGGGTGATTTGGGCAATGCTTGGAGATAATTTCCAGGAGGAAGGAACTACAGGAATCTAGTGAGAAGGGCCCAGGAAAGCTGTTAAACATCCACCCACAACACAGAATTATCCAGCCCCAAACATCAGTAGGGCCCAGGTTGAGAAATCTTGTGTTAGATCTATATCTATTAGTAAGGGGGAAATGTCTATGATGTATTAAGTAAAATATGTAAGTGGGAAAAAAAAGTTGTACAGCATTAAACCCATTTTTAAAAATCCCTATATTTTAAACATATGCATAGAAAGAGTCTGAAGACTATACAGCAAATTTATGGTTAAATGACCATAAATTCATGACCTGAGCCGAAGGCAGACGCTTAACAACTGAGCCACCCAGGCGCCCTGCCCTTGGTGTTCTTAATGCCTATAATATATCACACACAAAGTCCTCATTATTATTCTGACCCTAAGGTGATGAAGGCTGACATGTAATGAATGGGTTGTGTGCCTCATTTCTTCATTAGGGTCCTTATGCACCTTTAAAATTCAAAACAGAGTGTGTGGGGGACATCTGGGTGGCTCAGTGGCTTAAGCATCCAACTCTTGATTTCCGCTCAGGTCATGATCCAAAGTCGTGAGATAGAGCCCCACGTTGGGCTCTGCACTAAGTGTGGAGCCTGAATGAGATTTTCTCTCTCTCTCTCTCTCTCTCTCTCTCTCTCTGCCTGCCCCCTCCCACTCTAAAACAAAACAAAACCAGAGTGTGTGTGTATGTGTGGAGGGGGAGGGTTAAAATCCTGTGGGCTCTGAGGATGCTCAGTAAACCCAAGCGCACTGTTGCTTTCCAGATGACAGAAACTCCACCCACATTCATTCTTATGACCCCTGCGAGAGTTACACCCGCCTGGATGAACCCTCACGGAGTATGGAGTACACAGGACAGGGCCAGCTGTGTGACAGGGACAAGAATGGCTGGTACCGCTTTGTGGGAGATGGAGGAGTGAGGTTGCCAGAGACCTGTGTCCCAATGTACCGATGCCAGACAGATGCCCCTATGTGGCTGAATGGGACTCACCCCACCCTGGAGGAGGGCATTGTCACCCGCACCGCTTGTGCCCACTGGAGCGGCAACTGCTGTCTCTGGAAGAGCGAGGTGCAGGTGAAGGCCTGCCCGGGCGAGTACCATGTGTACCAGCTGCAGGGCACCCCCAAGTGTAGTCTGAGGTACTGCACAGGTAAGTGGCCAAGAGCCGGGGATGGCTGGGGGGCGGGGCCCCCTGGTGAGGAGCCCAGGCATCAGCGGTGAGTGAGGCAGATCAGGAGATGAAGCGGAACAGCCTGGACTAAGCTCCCGCGTGTTACTGCCCAGTGGGGATGTCACCCGAGGTTGCCAGGCCTTCCAACATTTCAAGGAAAGCCAGAAATTCAGAGTTGAGGGCAAAATCTCCCGATATAAATATGTATCTCTATATGTGTAGCATGATATGAAGAACACAAGCTCATTCAGATTTAGATCCCATTTGGGCAGTTTAATTTACCTCTCTGAGCTTTAGTTTTCTGATCTGAAAAAATGGATGATGGCAAAAGTCACAGCCAATGCATATAGTGTCCCTGCTCCAATCCAAGTGCTTTAGACTATGAACTCATTTAATGCTCTCACCAGCCTCATGAGATACAAGTACTATATAATTACACCTGATGAGAGGTCTGGGGCACAGAGAGGTTAAGCAGCTGTCCCAATGTCACAGAGCAGGAACATGACAGAGCTGGGATTTGAACCCAGATACTCTAGTTCCATGATCTATATACCTAACCATTATGCTACCCAGTTTCATACACTTACCATGAGAACTGAATGAGCTTATTTGTGGAAAGTCCTCAAACAGTGTCTGCCACGTAGTAAGCCTTAGGATGGCAGCCTCTAGGTTCTCACTTCACTGGACTGGGAGTCAGAAAATCTGAGTTTGAGGCTTGACCCTTCCACTATGTATCACACACCCTTGGGCAGGACTTCTGGGCCCTGGTAGAATGACAGAGTTGGCCTTGGTGGCCTCAGATCGCTTTGTTCTGCATTCTAATCCTCTTCCTCTGTGCCTCACCCCGGAGACCCCTACACTGCGAAGAACAAGTGTGAGAACACCTGCCGCCCGGAGGAGGAATGCAGCTTTCTCAACGGCACCTGGGACTGTTACTGCAGACAGGACCTCAACAGCTCTGGTGAGTGGCTCAGCAGGGCTGGACAGTGGGAACGATGCTGGTCTGAGCAGGCAAGGCAGCAAGGAGGGAGTTGCAGAGGGTCAGGACAAGGTGTGGACCAGAGTCAGTGGGGATGGAACAGAGGTCAGGGAAAAGGTTCTCAAAGCCATCTGCAAGGATGGGAGAGCAGGGATGGAACAAACTGCCAGGTCAGTCTTTGGATCACAGCCTCAGGAAGCAGCTCTGGCATGGGTGAGCTTGGCCCATGAGGGACAAAGGTACTAAGGACAAGAACTCTGTAAGTGTGGGAGCTGCATTCGAATATCTGCAGAGTCTGCATGTGAGGACACGGGCAGACTCCTATGCCAGTCCTGGATTTGCGACGTGGTAGCTCTCTGGGGCCTGGGACAAGGCACCTAGACTTTCTGAGCCTTAATGTCCTCATCTGTAAAATGGGACTAAGATAATAGTAAAAATAAGCACCATACAGGGCAAGCAGTCCAAATGGGCAGGCTTTTAAGGTGATAAGGTTCTTGTCCCAGGAGGTAAACAAGCAGAGGCACATGACTCATGGATACAGATGCCATAAACAAGCCCTAAGCCCTGGATGGGGGTTGGATGAATTTCCCAATGAGATTATTTCCTTCCCACCTAGAATTCTAATTAGGGCCTTTGACTCTTGCCCTTCTCATAAGCATGCTTTCTCTGAGCACACTCCCAGTCCCTGTGGAAAAGAAAGTGTTCTAGACAGTGGGGCAAGAACAAGCATGTGTTTGGAAAACTGGGCTGCAGTGTGGACCAAGTGGTGCTTGGGTGTGCCTAGCAGGAGTGGGGTGGGGATGAGGGGCAGGACTGGAAGGAAACAACCCCGCTCTCCATGAAGGCTCTTTCTGCTCATTGGGTGGACAAGCCCCCAGAGGCTCGGGGTTGTCTCCCAGGATTTGGGCCATCACAGAATCAGATGTTGGATTTCAAGGATGCTCTTCCTGTACCTGGAGACTCCAAGGGCATCCTTGGCAGGTCCTCTCTGATTGGGTGGGCGGGTGGCCTGCCTCGAGTCTTCATTAGTGGCTACTCAGCAAGTCCCCATTGCTTCCAGGCACAACCCAATTGTGATCTGGCTTTTGCTTACTTCTCCATCTCTCACACTCCACCCCCACCCATTCTAAGTTCCTGTACCTCTGAGCTCCGCATCTCTGTACACACACCATCCTCTCTCCCATCACCACACTTTTGCCCCTGCTGTTCCCTTAGCCAGGGGTGCCCTCACTTGCCCTATGCACCTGCAAAACTCCTACTCCCGACCAAGTTCCAGCCCTCAGTGAATCCTTCCCTGACGTAACTGACAGATTCAGATATACCTTCTTGTGTTTCTCTCTGCACCTAGAACTTACTTCGGTTAGTATTTTCATCATACTGCACCTTAATAAGCTGTTGACATGCTGATTCTGACACAAGAGCAAGCAATCTTCATGGGCTGGGTCCATGTTTTCTTTATTTTTGTGTTGAATGTGCCTCACACATGGAGAAGGTGGTTAGTAAATGTATTTGAATCAATGCATTCATGAATACAATCAAAATGGTATTTCTCTTCATTTACTATCTACCCCCCCATCAGAATGTTAGCTCCATAAATAAGAGTGGGGATTTTGTCAGTTTTGACAAACACTGTATCCCCAGTATCTAGAACAGTGCAGACAGTAAATGCTCAAGATGCATTTCATGCATAAATGCTGAATGAATGAATGGAATGAATCACTGAATGAACGAATGAATGAAAGAAATGAGCAATGGCTCTGAACCTGGTCAGATATGCTGGCTTCACAAAGCCAGGGAGTAGGAGTAGTATGTATCTACCCTTGATTCTAATCTGGAATGCAGGATAGCCCTGCTTCTCTAGAGACCCCGATCCCCACAGACCCTGATCCCCAATCCCCAAGACATGAAAGCCCTCCCTATACTTGCACATAGGATGCTTAGAAATCTTGGACCAGGGGCTTTTTTGCCAACCTCATCCACTACAAGCCTAGGTGTGAATCCCACCTAGGTCTCAGGCCCCTATTAGTCTACCCAACTCCCCACTGGGTATGATGGCTTTTCCAAAGGGCAGGGAATGTGGGCTGTGCCCACTGCTTCCAGAGCCCTGTCCACTCCACCTTATCCCCTTTCTCAACTTTCCAGATGTCCACAGTTTGCAGCCTCAGCTAAACTGTGGGGCTGAGGAGATCAAGGTGTCACTGGACAAGTGTCAGCTGGGAGGCCTGGGTTTTGGGGACAAGGTCATTGCCTACCTGCGAGACTGGAACTGCAACAGCATCACGCAAAGAGAGGAGAGAAATTGGATATCCGTGACTAGCCCTACTGAGGCTAGGGCCTGCGGAAACATTCTGGAGGTGAATGGTGTTTACACCACTGCTGCCAGAGGGTGGGAGTTGGGCTGTGGAGCTATCTCAGTAGCTATGAGACCTTAGACAAGTCACTTAGCCTCTCTGGGCCTCTAGTAGTATGTGAGATTACACATGTTTGTTCACATAAAGAGCTTAGAACAGGTTTGCTGCTTGAGCTGAATAAATGTAAGCTATGATTATGATTATTTTAATTAGGGGTGATGTGGTAGGGGTCGACATGGGAGCAAGCATGGTGGTTGCTGACTGTCCCCAAGGGCCAAAAATTATTGTTCTAGTTTTTGATCTGGGATTCTCACTCCCCTTCCCATAAGGCATTAGAGCCACTAAGGGAAGAGGCCCACATGCTTCCTGGAGATCAGAAGGCAGGGTGGCAGCATGATGGAGAGTATCAACCTTGCAGTCAGGCAGGCCTGAGTTCTAGATACACCTGCACACACATAAACATATATGTGGTCTTGTTTTTATGCCAAAGAGAAATGGAACCCATGCCATCTACAAAAACACCCTCTCCGTGGCCAATGAGTTCATCATCAGAGACACCATCCTCAACATCAATTTCCAGTGTGCCTACCCACTGGACATGAAAGTCAGCCTCCAAACCGCCCTGCAGCCCATTGTAAGGTATGGCACTGACCCTTGCCCTTTGATCTATAACCCTGACACTGATCACATTCACTTCAGGCAAAGCTTAAGATGTCCTCAGATTGCTGCCTACCTCCTACAGGAGCTCTCACTCTTTCCATCATTCATTCTGCAAATATTTGTTGATCATAGATTAATGTTCAGCATGCACAAGGCAGACATAGAATATTTTGTGGCTATTAAAGATTATTATTAAGAAGCAATGCAGCAACATGAAATAATGTTAATTAAATATGCTAAGGAACAAAAACACACCACAGTTTCATTTATCTTGAGGAAGACAGGAATTAAGCAACTAATTATACCAATCATTATTTACAAGTGAGATGAATGCAATGTGGGAGAAGCACAGGGTGCTGTGGGATCAGGGAACAAGGGTCCCTGATCTAATCTTTGTGGGGCGGGGATGGTGGGAGCAGGAAGGCTTCCCCGCAGATGTGGGATTTAAGCCAGGATTAGCTTTGATTGGATAAACAGCACCCTCAATTCACTAGAAGTAGAACCAAGTAGCAATTTGGGTGGGGATCCATTTCGAAGAGGCTTTCATCTATTTTGGTCACTGGCTTTCATCTATTTTGGTCACTACTATCTCCCTGTGGAATGGATTCCTCAGCATTTAGATACCAATAGACTTGCTGGGGGATTTTCTGAGGGTGTCAAAACTCCATGGTGCCCTTTCCATCCCCTCATTGCCTCCTGGGCTCACAGAGTAGCACAATTAGGACTAGTAATTTTCTAGTTCAGTGGTTTTCAGACTGTATTGTGTTGGGGCCCCAAGTTTCATAATAAATAAAAATTAAAGCCATTCCTCTTTTAAAATGGATGTTTCACTGGATGATTCCCTGGTGGAGGGAGGAGAACTGCTGCTAAAAACGGTGAACCCACAGGACTGATCCCATTGTACAGGGGGGAAGACAGAGGTGTGCACTTGCAGTTATTCTGTGAGTGAAGGAGATATGAGTGATCTGTGAGGCAGGGAGAATGGGTGGAGATCCCAGAGACACACCCGTCTGCTTGTCAAGTTTAGTGCCTAGCAGATACTAAATGCTTGTTTTAAATGGGTGATTGAATAGTTCCTTTAGGGACCAAAGATGTGCCTTCACCTTAATAGCCTCACACAAGTGCAGGGCTGGATTTATTTTGTTCTCACTGGTGGAAACCTAATGTTTCCACTTTTATGGCTTTCCTCTTCTTAGTTCTCTGAACATCAGTGTGGACGGGGATGGAGAGTTCACTGTCAGGATGGCCCTGTTCCAAGACCAGAACTATACATCTCCTTACGAAGGGGCCGTAGCTGTGCTGGCTGTTGAATCCATGCTCTATGTGGGAGCCATCCTGGAGAGAGGGGACACCTCCCGGTTTAACCTGTTTTTGAGGAACTGCTATGCCACGCCTACTGAAGACAAGACTGACCCTGTGAAATATTTCATCATCAGAAATGGGTAACGGGCAACTCTGGGTTATCTTTTGGCCTGAAAAGGATTTTGGGGGGAGAAAGATCACCATGGCCCTGCCTGGCAGTTGTGTAAACTGGCTTACCTCTTTTGGAAAATAATTTGGCATTACATATCATGACCATACTTTTGACCCAGGAATATCACTCCTGACATTTTAGCCTAAAGCATTAATACAAAATAGGTCAGCAAGATAGAGAAATGCCAATTATTTTTCATTTCAGTATCCTTTATAACTTTGGAAATAGGTTCACAGTTCAAAAATAGAGATCCATTAAGTAATGATGGGCTACTATACAGATATTAACACTGACTAATCAACATGAAAATGGCATGACAAGTCTTATGGGACAAAATATCATTGAAATTGCTAACTGGCAAAAACAAAGGGAAAAGGCATATCCATAGATCATGATTCAAACCGTGGTAAGTAACAATATTAGCTCATATTTATCACTGAGCTTAGTTACGTGCCATGCACTGTGTCACTAAATGCTCACATCAACCCCAAGAGGTATGGATTACTGTCTCCGCTCTAGACAAGAAAAGTGAGGCTCAGACAGGTTAAGTCATCTGCTAATGATATTTAGCTAGAAAGTGGTTCTGGCTGGAATGTGAAGCAGTCTATTTCACCTCAGAGACTGTACCCCACAAAACTGAAACCACATGGGCTGATGAATAAATGTCTTAGAGGGGGTGCCTGGGTGGCTCAGTCGGTTAAGCATCTGCCTTTGGCTCAGGTCATGATCTCAGGGTCCTGGGATCGAGCCCCATGTTGGGCTCTGCGCTCAGTGGGAAGTCTGCTCCTCCCTCTCCCTCTGCCCCTCCGCACCCCTCATGCTCTCTCTCTGTCTCAAAAAAATAAACCTCTTGGAGGAAACCCAGAGGAATAAAAGTCTATGTCAGGAGGGAGGGAATCAGGGAACTCTTTAATTCTCTGTGATGATGTTTTTATATTGGATACAGATTAAAGATACAGCCAAGGGCCTCAGGTCCCTTAAGCTGTTCTAAAAGTTAGACCCTTGCCCCTGTCACCCTCCCAGCTGCCCAAATCAATATGATTCCACCATCCATGTGGAGGAGAATGGGGTGTCCTCAGAAAGCCGGTTCTCAGTTCAGATGTTCATGTTTGCTGGAAATTATGACCTAGTTTTCCTGCATTGTGAGATTCATCTCTGCGATTCCCTTAATGAACAGTGCCAGCCGGTGAGTAACTCAGAGTGAACTATTCAGAGTTTCATATGGGGCCTGGTACCTGGTAGTCTCACCATATATATTTATTGGAATTATGGATGGAGGGAAAGGAGGGAGGGAGGGGAAGAGAGAAAGAGGAGAAGAAAGAAAAAAGGATAAATAGATGGACAATCTCCAAAAAGCCCATGTGTATATAATTATTGTGTCCCCAGGAAGCAGATTAGACAAAGGAGCCTGCCCACTAAGTTTCCTTGGCACAAGACATATTTTGAATGATTTCGTAATAGTTGACTTTTTAAGTGCTTATTCCATGTCAGGAATTGCACTAAAACTTTCATATGCTTTATCTAATTAAATTCTCACAACAACCCTTAAGTAGATTCTTTTATTGACCTCATGGTACAGATGAGGACACTGAGCTTCAGAGAGGTCTTTTGCCCAAGGGCAACACAGCTAGAAAACATCAGAGCTGGGAGGTAACTCCAGTGTCCATGCTCTTAACCCCTGTTTGGTACTGCGGGCTAGTAGTTGGCATTTGTTGAGTGCTGACTATGTGCCTGGGTGTTACAGACACATTCATTTTAACCTTTACAACTGAGAAGGTACTACTTAATAGTAATAGAGAGGTGAAGTCATTAGTCCCAAATTAGACAGCTAGAAGAGATGAGATTCAAACCCATGTTTGTTTGACTTGACAGTAAGAATTTTCTCGATTGAGAAAACCACAGCCTCAGAGTCAGGGCCACATGGTGGGTGGGGTCCCATTCTTGGGCCAGATTCTTGTCCCATTGCAGGGACAGCCTGGATAGGAACTGTGACTTTAAATTTTGATATAATGAGATTTCTCCATCCCCACAGTCTTGCTCAAGAAGTCAACTCCGCAGTGAAGTAGTGGCTATCAACCCAGCCCAGGTTCTAGATTTGGGACCCATCACTCGGAGAGGTGAGTGGCTAACTTCTGGTGAGAAGGCCAGCTGGTCAAGTTCTGAGAGTTAACCACAGATGCCTGGGGTCACCACCCTAACAACCTAGAGCCTTTTCTGCCTCCTCACTGCAGCCCCCACCAGTAAATCTATCTTTCCATGAGGTGCTCTGGATAATAAAATAGCATTTGCCATTTGTGCTGAGCCTCCTATGTGCTAGAGACCAGGCTAAGCTTTCAGTATCCATCAACTCCCTTCATTCTCCTGACTGAGTCCGTTTTACAGGCAAGAAACTGAAGTTTGGAGAGATTAAGTGGCTCACCCCAATCACTCAGCTCATGAGGAGCTGGAGTTAGAATTGAACCCAGCTCAGACTGATTCCACAGCGTATGTCCTTTCCCTTATTCCTCCTGCCAGGTCCCCTTACCTCAGCCCCTTTTGGGTGAAGTCTAGGTTCTAACCCAACTTTGTTTTCTGGTGAATGACTGTTTTTCAAAATCCAGTTATAATATTCTGGGGCATGATGTAGGGGAAGCTTTCTAACTGCCCCACAAATGCTTACCCATCCTACCCATGGGTTAGCACTACTGTGGTGGTTTTTATTCCTGCTGGAATGGAGGAGTCAAAAAACCCAGAAGAATGAAAGCAATTTTTTTTTGTCCTAAAGAAATTAGGACGCAGTAATGCTAGTAACAACAGCAATGACAGTAATAGTAATAACACATGTGGCTGGCACCATACAAAACATTTATATGCATCATCACATGGAAGGCTCACAACAGCCTAAGGAGGTAAGCACTATTTCCACTTCCATTCTCCAGGTGAGTAAACTGAGGCCGTCTTGTAAAAAAGGCTTTGCCTTGAGTTGTCCTGCCTCTTTACTGAGCCCTCAACTTGAAGCTTCATGTGGTATCACAGGGTAGTTGGAGGGTGAGGAACTTTCACTTTGGAATCAGAGAGATGGAGGCTCAAATCCCAGCTTTACTACCTACAACAAGGTCAACTTAGCCTTGGTCAACTGAGCCTCAGTCTTCTCACAAATATTTTCCTCACAAATCTGCTGGAAGAACTAAGTTTCAAATGCATGAAATGGGCTTAGAAATGGAACTGCTAAATAAAAGACACCTCAACAGTGTGGGTGGCCAGGTCAGTGGCCGTGGTGGCCAGGTCCAGGAGGACTTGGAGCAGCTACAGCCACAGTGCCAGTCACAGGCACATGACTGAGGAAACCTTCACCTCTGCTCTTGTCCCCAGGCACTCCGTCTCTTGGCGTCGTGAACGGAACCCCCAACTCTGCAGGTACATCGTTATCTCCTGCCTTATCCCACTGCCCTCCCTCCCAACCCTCTCTTCTTCCTCTTTTCAATTCAGTGCACATTGATTTAGCCTGTGCTAGTGACTATGGACACTGAAATGAATCAGTCCCAAGTGTGGTTCTTGAGATGCTCATAGTCTAGCACAGGGTCCAGTCATTTAACAATAAATACTTATTGGGTGCCTACCATGTGCCAGGCATTGTTTTAGATGCTGCAGATATAATAGTGAACAGGATAGACCAGGTGCCTGCCCTCATGGAGCTTATGTTACAGTGTGGGAAACAGGCAATAAAAAGTTAACAGGATAATTTAGAAAGAAAAGAGGGTGATGTGATAGAAAGTTACCAACATGGGTAACAGCGTCTTAAAAAAGACAGTCGTTTATTTTACTCACATGTAAATGAAGTCCAGAGGCAAGCAATCCAGGGCTCCTGGGGTGGCACCACAAGGTCATCAAGAATCAAGTTCTTTTAAGCTGTCCCCCTCCACATTCTTCATCCTCACGGTCCAAGATGGCAGCCAGAGCTCCAATCTTCATATCTAGTCAGCAGGATGGAAGGAATATGGAAAAAGTCACAGAGCGTTAAGGAACATTCCTGGAAGCTGACACCTTATACTTCCACTTACATCTCATTGGCCAAAGCTTAGTCACACCTGGCTGCAAAGGAAGCTGGGAAATGTAATCTTTATTCTGGGTGGCCATGTCCTGAACCAATGTTTGATGGTTCTATTTATAAGGCAAGAAGGAAAAATAAATATCAGAATGGGTAAATGGCCAGAAAAATGTTCAGAGGAGGTGATATTTGAATGCAATGAGAAAAAGGAACCAGGTTTGCAAATAATGAAGGAACAAGCCCTATAGGCAGAATGAACAACAATTGCAAAAATGAGACACTCATATAAGCAAATAAATCATAAGCAATTAGATAGTGCGGCAGGAGCACATAGAAGAGTAATTAACCGTACTGGATAAGGTCAGGCAAGAATTTCAGCAGGTGGCAATATCTGAATGGGGTTTTGGTGGGTGACCTGGAGTTTAACAGGGAGACCAATCCAAGAAATGTATTTTGGACCCAAGGGAAAGCAATGCTACTAAGATTTTACTGCCCCCTCTTCCCAATACACAAATGACCTATATTGGTGAACCCACACATGAAAAAGTTCTTTCCATCCTTAATTCTCCAGTTAGATAACAGCCTAAAAGTTTCCAAATAAGGTCAAGATGGCCTCTCCACACTTAGTGCTAATATTCAGACAACACTCAAAAAAGTAGCACTCATCAGAGAGAGGGGTTAGAGCTCAGACCAAAAGGAGCTTGAGAGCAGACCTCACGTCTCATTCACTTCTCCCAATATTTCAGGTTAGCGCAGTGCCTGCAGCAGCCTGGTTTCCCAGTAGAGTTTGCCAAACTGACTAATTTCTAGAGTGGGCAGTGGATTCTGGAGCCTTCTGGAAGAAAAAGGGAGCAATCTTATGTGGTATGAGACCACCACAAGAGGGCACTTATGGTGTTCATTGTTTGCTATCTCCCACAAACATGTCTGACGTTTTAAAATTAACTGAACATCAGCCTGTGTTTCATAAATACAAACTGGCTGTCATACACTAATATTTCAAAAAAATTATGATATTCTTCACTCCCTTCTAGGACATCACCAAGTTACTTTGAAATTTATGGGATGGAGAAAAGTTATAATCTCATAGTACAGTGGGAGGGGGTATACACGCCTCCCCAAGGCCCCCAAATACAAGGCATCTATCACTCGGGATCCACACCCTTCATTAACACTGAGTATATGGTCATTTTCAGAGGAGGTATGATCCCAACCCTCCCAGATCTTAGAGTCTAATATTCAAAACTGACACTTATATGGTGTTTATTATGTGCCAGGCAATGTTCTAAATGCTTGATATGAATTTACTCACTTAAGCCTTAAAAAAGTCACATGAGGTAATAGCTGCTTGTGATATTTCAATTTTGCATACAGATAAACTCAGTCATGGTGAGATGGTGAGATGGTGAGGCTCAGTAACTTGCCTGGGCCTGCACAACTAGTTGTAGAGCTATGATTCTTTTTTTTTTTCTTTTTTTTTAAGATTTTATTTATTTATTTGACAGAGAGAGAGCGTGCACAAGTGAGGGGGAGAGGGAGAGGGAGAAGCAGACTCTCTGCTGAATAGGGAGCCCGATGCAGGGCTCGATCCCAGGACCCTGAGATCATGACCTGAGCCAAAGGCAGACACTTAGCCGACTGAGCCACCCAGGCACAACTAGAGCTGGGATTCTAAGCTAAGAAGTCAGGCCTCAGAGGTTTTTTAACCTCTGTGTCTTTCTGCCTCTTTAGTATTAGCATAAGTAATGTTAGCTGCTATGACAAACAATCCTCAACTTTCTGTGCCTTTACACAATAGTTTATTTCCCACTAAATCACTGGGGGATGCAGTTCTGTGCTTTGCAGTCATTAGGAAGTCAGGCTCTTACCTTCTGGTAACTTCTGGCAACTCCACTGTCCCCGGCAAGTCCTCTGCTGGATCCTTGGCATCTGGTCCCTAGATGGTGGATGAGAGAGTATGGAAAATTATGTAGGAGGTTTTAAGGACCAGGTTTAGAAATGGCATGTATAATTTTTACCCATATTCCACTGGCCAGATTCAATCATGTGATCTCACCTACCTGCAAAGGAGACTGGGGAAAAATTGCCTTCCAGTGTGCCCAAAGGAATATGAAAAAGTGTTTGATGATTAGATAGCTTTGCCTCTACCACATGACCCCTTTGCCACTTCCCAGGGGCTGTAACCTAGAACAGATATTAAGGATACTTTGCCTTTCTTGTCCTTGTAAGGTAGAGGATAGAAAGGCTAGCTTGCTTTGGCTGTTAACTTCCAAAGCCCAACACTTGACAGACATCTCTCTTATATTTCAGGGTTCCTGGTGGCCTGGCCCATGTTTCTCCTGCCTGTGCTCCTGGCTGGGCTGTTCTGAGAGCTCAGATTAGCAACTGGCCTTGAAGCTCATGTTCTTCCCTCTGGTGATGGCTTCCAGTCACCCATCGGTTATGCCGGTTCTCTCTCCAAATCACATAGAAAATCTTCGTGTTTATAGACTCTGCCAGGCTAGGTTTGGGGAAAGGGAAGATATTTCCCTTGTTCAACACTCTCTGTGCCTTTATATTCCTCTTTTTCTCATGGTGGGGGCCCTGTTGGCCTGGCCTGGCCTGACTTCCTCATTTATTAGCAGGATCTTGGAGCCAGAATTGCTTCGTACCTCTGTGGCTCCAGCCTTCACCAGAAATGTATTATGTGTTAGTCTGTAACTCCAGGAAAGAGGGGCTGTGTCATTGGGCAGTGCGGGGGAGAAAGAGGATGAGCTTGTAAAAAAGGCACCTCCCATGGTTCCTTCCCAAGAACCCCTGTTCTTACTGCTGATGAATTGAACAGACTGATCCTTGCTTTAACCTGTGTCCTCTGATGTATTTCCATCATGGTCTCAATAGTGGCCATGGGAATAAGTTGTAAAGGGTCCACTTTTGGAGACTACTCCAGGGAAGACTGGTTCCCATTGCTCCTCTGTCCCCCACCATACCGTAGACATGCTTTGATGTGCCTAGGAGTAGGCAAAAACCTACCCTAGGACCCAAATGCTGGAGGAACTGCTTGATTTGGATGCAGGGATGCTGTCACTTCAGAATATACCTCTAGCTGTGAATAGTGGTGCACTTGCTCTGAAGTAAACAAGAAGTCCCAGCGGAAAATGCTGTGTCGATCCTGCCATGGGGATATAGCAGCAGCACCTGGGGATGAGTGAAGTCCCTTTCTGGAAACCTCTGATGGGCCCTCATAAAACACTCCACAAAGATGCCACAAATAGAGAACGCTTCCCCTTCCCATAGCTATACACAAGGCCCCTCCAAGTTGGCCTCAGGAAAAAATGATCAGATCAGGACCAGGCCACAGGGGAGTGGAGCCTGTTTATCTGCCAGGAGGAGACTTTCCAAAGTGCTCTCATGTTTAGAGATAGTGTGGTTGCAAGAAACAGAAACGAACTCTAATTAAATCAGGCAAAAGGAGAATTATCAGAATATATGAGCCAATAGTCCAAGAACAGAAGATACAACCTAGCTGTAAAGGAAAACTACCAGAAACCAAGGTTTGTCTGTCTTTCCATCTGTCGGTCTTCCTGAAACCACACAGCCTTTACATCTGCTTATCTTTGTGTGTCTTCTTTATTCCCCCCTGCGCTGAAACTAGCTCTTCCTGTTCATTCATCATGCCTTAATTAAATATGGACATTGAAGCTTCATCTCACTTCCTAATTCAGGGGCCACAGAAACCAACTAGCACTTGGTATCCTACATTCAAACTGTACAAGGGAGAATGTGATTTCCCTGTTTGGTCAGAATGCTTCCCTTGGTCCAAACATCTGAGGGCAGGTGAGTGGCCTCATCTAATGCAAACATAGCCAATGGGGCCAACCTGAGGAGGCAGGTCTCGAACACATGGCAGTGTTTCCTGGATAGATGCCCCAAAGGTCTACTCTAATAGTGACTTTTTTTTTTTTAAGATTTTTATTTATTTATTTGACAGAGAGAGACACAGCGAGAGAGGGAACACAAGCAGGGGGAGTGGGAGAGGGAGAAGCCGGCTTCCCGTGGAGCAGGGAGCCCGATGTGGGGCTCGATCCCAGGACCCCGGGATCATGACCTGAGCCAAAGGCAGACGCCCAATGACTGAGCCACCCAGGCGCCCCTAATAGTGACTTTTTAAAAAGAGAATTTCTTGGGAGGAATTGCTTGTTTCCCAGTATGTCAGGGGATTCAAAGTTATTACATTTCAAGGGAGGGGTACACTGGGAATGCACCTGAAATACAGGTCAGGGGCCCTAACCTCTTCCCTTCTCTGGGGTTCATCTTCTCCCTCTTACAGAATAAAGGGGCTGGACTAGAACAAGATTCTCTAATATTTATAGTGGAACCCTTTCTTTAAATACAATTCTACATGAATACCCAATATGTAGACATTAAATACAAATAGACTCTTGTTGATGTCAGGTAGGGGGCTTAGGTCTCCCATCTGTCCTCATCCTCCAGCTCTCAAAGAAACTCCATGATAACCCATAGGGTTACCAAGGGCAAAGTTCTGGAATTCCCTGGGATATATCACATCTAATATCTCTTCCAGTGTAAAGCACATGGGATTCTACTTAACCAGAGCCAACGCTGGCTGTCTAACTATGTATGTATGTATGTATGTATGTATGTATCTATCTATCTATCTATCCATCATCCATCCATCACAAACTCTCCCACCTTACCCATCCCCTTGCTCTCTCCACCTATCTACCTATATATTTATAATCTACCTAGCTAGTTACAGCTTTTTGTTTTCTGCAGATGGGCATACTAAATGAATAACAATCTCTGAATGTCCAATCCACTTTATTCATTTGGGCAACACTTAATCTGCTGAGCAATTGTTACATCCCAGACCTAAGGGCCCAGGTACAATAATGAATGAAACACAGTCCCTGCCTTTAGAGGTTCACAATCTGGTGCAACACACACACAAAGGCACTCATGTGCAGGTCCCATTCAAGTATGCATACCCCCTGACCCTCAGACACAGGAGGCATAAACATATACCAACCTCATGTGCCCAAAGACATTTCCACACACAGAGATCCTCACCAGGGCCCTCAGGCCTAGTCACTTATGTATTTATTGCCATGAATAACTTAGTTAACAGGTAACATTTTTAGCCTGTCCTATGCACCAAGCATTATTCTAAGTGCATTATGGGCAATGCAACATTCCACCCTCCCCTTAGATACTGAAGGTAGGAACTACTATTATTCCCAGTTTAGAGATGAGTAACCAAGGCTTAAAGAAGGCAATTACTCACCTAAGGACCTATAGCTTTTATTTTTTTTTAATATCTTATTTATTTGACAGAGAGAGACACAGTGAGAGAGGGAACACAAGCAGGGGGAGTGGGAGAGGGAGAAGCAGGCTTCCTGCTGAGCAGGGAGCCCGATGCGGGGCTCGATTCCAGGACCCTGGGATCATGACCTGAGCCGAAGGCAGATGCTTAACGACTGAGGACCTATAGCTTTTAAATGATGAATTCAGGGCTTGGGCCTTGGTAGCCTGAGTTTGGAGGATATGTTTTAATAGACACGGTATTCTGCCTCTGTTTATACACAAAGCCCTCCTATAGACAGGAGGCACTCATTTTCATACACATGCCACGATCCACACATGCGCCCGCTTGCATACAGGCACATGGGAACACATACATACGCAGTGACACGTGTGGACATACACACATCTGCCAATACAGAGGCCCTCACACATACACAGGCACTGACATTCATGGATACACAGATGCTAGCATGCATACTAATCTATGCATGGTCATTTAGATGCAGACGCATATACCTTAGTACAGAAAAAAAACACATTCTATGCTACACACACACATGTACACACACACTCATAGATACATAAACATATGCATACATACCTACAAGACACAGGACCTGGATCCCACTCCCCAAGGCCAGGACCCTGGCCATGTCTCCTCTCTCATTAGCTTTCCTCTCCTCCTTCCCCTAGTCCTGCCCAGATGGGCACTGGGACAAGTCCAAACCAGGGGGCACAGTGAAAATGACGTTGGACCCAGCATCTGGGAGTTCTGGACTAAAAGGATGAAAGAGACAATGAGATAGGACCTGACCCACAATCAGGGAAACTGGCATCTCTCTTCCGGGGGAGCACCCAGAAGCAGCAGGTGGAAGATGCAAGGAGGGTAGGCAGCCTGCTCTCCAGCAGCTTAAGGTCTGCTTGGGAAACCAGGGCATACAAATTCTAGGCAGCCAAAGCTAAACAGTGGTGAGATCAAGACAGACATTGCTGCAAGATGTGGAAAAGGGAGAAGTCCACTCTTCCTCTGGAGAAGAGGGAAGGATCTGTCCCACGGAGTTTAGTCCCTTCACTTTCCAGATGGAAACGGAGATCCAGAAAAGAGAAGTGGGATATTCATTCTTAATCCTATAAAGGATCCTCTAAGATGTGCCGTCACCAGTTGGGCATAAAATGGGGAGAAAGGGGACCCCTGAAAGCTGGTCATCTAAAGGAGATTTGGAATGGGGGTCCCAGAGGGTAAGTTCCACCCAATCTAACTCATTTCATAATCTCTCCTCACCCCTTCTTCTTCAAACTGTTCCTCCCATAAAAGGTTAGAAATCACCCTTTTGCTTTCCTTCCTCATCACAGAAGATTCTCCTTTCTAAAACTTTACTAAATCCATTCACTTTTCTTCAACCCCACTGACCCTGATCATCTCTAAACTAATGTCCTCTCTCACCTGACTGATATAATAGCTTCCCAGGTGGGCTTTCTCCAGTCTCACCCAGTCTCACCCCTCCCAATCCATTCTCTACCCGGAAGCTAGTGAGCATTTACAGCAAGCTCACTTCTCTCTTTATATCCCTCCAGCAGCTCTTAACCTTCTGTCTGATGAGGTTGGCCTGCTAGAGGGCAGACAAAATCCTCCACAGCTGAGCCATGACTGTTCTCTCCGGCTTCAGATCTTATACTTACTTATCCCTCTCATACCTCATGTTTCAGCTGCCCTGAATTTCCACAGTTCCCTGACTCGTCCTAGTTCACACTGCTCTGCCTTCACCTGTGCTCTTCTTGCTGCATGGAAGGCCCTTTCCGCAAGGGATGACATCCCTAATCAGCTCTAGGGTTATTTCTCCTGTGACGCTATCCTAACTCTCCTCCCTGGCCTAGATCTGATCACACTCCTCTTGTGACCCCTTCTCTACAGAACCTTATTATCACATGCACCATCTGCATCTGAAATGATCTATTTTTACATCTGCCCTCCATCCCCCACCCTAGACTGTTAGTTCCTTGAGGACAGGGGCTTTGCCATATTCAAATATTACTGGCTGACTAAATGAAGACACAGGCTGCACTCTTCTTTATTCCTTTACTTCCAATATAATCACACTGTCATCTATCAGGAGAGAAGGGAACCACTTAATTGCAGAAATAAAGGAGACTTTCTCACTTGGATAATCATGATGAAAGGACCAAATCAGAACCTGAGACAAGATTTCTTGGCTCTCTCCCAGACTCTCACCCCATCCCATTGTCAGCTGATCTTACAAAGGGTTGCTTTCCTTCCCCCTTTAGTTCTCATCTTCCTTGGCCTCAGGGGAGTATTGACTGAAAGTTTGGGTGCTTTTTCTTCTTTTCTTCATTGAGGAGGGCTGCAATGGAGCTGATAGAGTGGTTATTGGTGAGGAGTAAATTGAGGGAAGTCAAGAGTAATCACTACTTAGCAGCAGGGGAAAAAAACAAAAAAGCAAAACAAAACCTATAAAGAGCTTGGGAGACTGTTGACCTTAAAAGTAAAACTGCTAGTTATTTACCAGCAAAATGGGCTTATTCAGGAATAGCAAAGGAATTGCAATTGAGGACATGGAGAGCTATGGCAAACCATTGGCGAGGTGGGAGATCAAAGGAAGGAAATAAGGAGGAAGTTGGGAGGGGCTGCTTTGAAAAGAAGTCCATTGGAGGAAAGTGAGAATCAGGGTGGTGATGGTTCCTCATTGGCTGAGTTGTGGTATTTTCTCATCAGCTGAGTTTGTTGCTGGGCAGGGAGACATTCTTCCTTCCTCCTGATGGAGCAGTAAAGTGTAGGCTTCTTCCTATACTCTAGGAATGCAAGATATATCTCTTCCTGTTAGGGTCGCAATTGAGGACAGTGGTAGGGCATTAGAGCTCCCCCTTCTGGTCTCCTCATTCCATTTAAAATGAGGTCTACTTTACTTAGTTTCACAAGACTAAGTCCAGAATTTAATGCATATCACAGCTGCAGGGGAGGAAACATAACTTTCCCTCTATACTTCTAGATTCTTGGCTGAGACAATTCCCCTCAATTAAAAAAAAAAAAATTAATAGGAGAAAAACAAATAGAAGTTTAATAACATGTATACTTCCTGTATGTATACATGGGAGATACCCAGGAAAACTGAGTAATTCTCTGATACGGCTCAAAACCATCACTTTTTTAAAAAGATTTATTTATTTATTTATTTATGTATTTGAGAGAGAGCGCGCAGGCGTGCTGTGTGCGCATGAGTGGGGGGAGGGGCAAGGGAGAAGGGGAGAAAGAGCAACAGATTCCCTGCTGAGCACAGAGCCCAACGCAGGGCCCTGAGATCATGACCTGAGCCAAAATGAAGAGTCCAATGCTCAACTGACTGAGCCATCCAGGCACCCCGAAACCATCACTTTAAATATCATCTCCAGCTAAAGATAAAAGAACATGTTATGGGTGGGGAGTCGGTTATGGGAAGTTACCAAGAAAAGTGCAGTAAACAAGGGTAAGTTTGTTATGCAGATTTAACTCTTTGCCTTCTCCACTGATAAGAGTTTCTGGAGATTTAGAGTCGTCCTCTTTGACACAGAGAGGGAGACACCCTTTCAAATGGAGATTTCCCTTATTAACTGTTAAGTCTTACATAAAGGGTGACTTCTACTCAGTTTTTAGAGCTGCTTCTGCGTCTGCATTTTTTATCTTTTAAAAAAAAAATAACTAGTTCAAAATAATCCTTATGCCAAAAAGGCATTTTTTGGGGTGGCAAATTCTGTTCCCCTTCACAGCCAATCAGCAATCAAATCTTAGAAAGTCACAGAGAGGGACTGTCAAGCATAGAAAGCATTTGTTGTGGATTCCATCTTAAAATACCAGACTCTGGGAACCCCTGTCTGAGAGAGGAATTAGTTTTGTTTCATAGAATACTTTTATATGACGATTTGGGTTTGCAGGGAAAGGGAGGGGTCTAGTTGTACACATTTCATTTCAATGCCTAAACCTGGCTCCAAATTCATTGAGAAGAGCTACAATTTTAAAGGGCAGAACTCTTGGGCTCTGGGTCCCAAACTACCCATGCAAACACTCCCATTCCTTATATTTCATGATGGGAGTAGTAGGTTGCTAGAGAAATAAAGGAGATAAAGGATGTGAAGTCACTTTGCAATGCATGAAGTATCATACAGATGATAACTGCAGCATTATCATCATTATCATCATCACCTACTGTTTTTCCCATTCTAATGTATTAAGCTGCTTCTAACATCTCTTTATTTGCCCTCTTTTTTTTTTGAAAGAGTGGGAGGGGGGAGGGGCAGAGGAAAAGAGAATCTTTTTTTTTTATTCTTATGTTAATCCCCATACATTACATCATTAGTTTTAGATGAAGTGTTCCATGATTCATTGTTTGTGCATAACACCCAGTGCT